TTTGAAAATAATTGAATTCTACAGAAGAAATTTTTTCTAGGGAAGAAATTTATTATTTCTGAAAATAATTGATTTCTAGGAAAGAAATTTATTATTTCTGAAAAAATTGATTTCTAGGAAAGAAATTTATTATTTTTGAAAATAATTGAATTATTTCGAAAAAATTTATTAAAAATTAAAACAAAGTAGGTAAAAAAAAAATTTCAAAGTTTTTTTCTTTCATGTTTATATTATTTTGAGTTTTCATTTTTCAAGTATTTTTTTAACAGTTTTGTCCATCTGTTGTAGTTTAACCAAATAATAAAAAAAAAGAAAATATCAAATTTTGTATCCGCACATATGTGTAGAGAGATAAGATATTGTTGTTAAGTATAATGAAGAAAATTTAAAAAACAAATAAATTTAAAAGAAATTGGAAAAAATATCATTTGAATGCAAATGATATCGATAAACGTGCGGTAGTTTAAAATCTGATAAAGAATATAAATGCTATATATTGATTTCCATTGCACGTCCCCTTCAAAAATTGCCTTCTTCCTGTTTCTTTTTTTTTGCAATTTACATTTATCGCTGCTTATCGCTTTTCCTTAACTACCCTTTCTATCACATTAATCTTAAATGAGACCCTCTTGGGGGTGCTCACAGACAAGACTTCAAAAATTTATCGTCACACTTTTGGGGTATAACTAAAAAATTGAAATAAGATAACATCATATCCTTTTAATTAAAATTTTTCACTCTCGATATTAGGCGCCTTGAAATAATTTTCATTATTTTAGCCTTTTTTATTTATTTAAAACAAAAATGTTTTTTCTTATCCTTCATTAAAATATTAATTTTTCTGTACCATTTATTTTTTAGTGCCTTTTTTTAAACTTGAAACCTTTTGGGAAAAATTGTCTGACTGAGTTTACTGTTGTAAAATTTACAAAAAAAGTTTTCTTGTCCATATATTTTGCAATCTATTTACATTTTTTCTCTCAGCATTTACGACCACAAGTAAATATTTTCGAGAAATTTAGACACTTGTGGAAAAGAATTGCAGAATTGAATTGAATTGAATAAGAATTGGATGCTAAAAATAAATATGGATTCATTAATCTACTAAAGAAGTAAATATAAAGAACAAGTTTGGAAAATAAAAAAACAAGTCCCCAAAAACAAAAATAGATAATAGAAAATCCCCTTTATGGTATGTTTGAGAACCAAACGGAACTAAAAGCTCAAGGCGCATAAATGATTCAAAGAACAGGAAATATATAATTCTATTTTAATCTTTGTGTAACAATTTATTTTCTACTTAAAAATCTAAAAAGAAATCCTCATTTAGTGCATTGTCATCCCAAGAGACTTCTCATGTCTATGAATTTTTACGGTCTCGAATTATCCCCCATTTAATTCTTTCATCTCGTCCGCCCCCGTTTAATATTGCACCCCCGAGTATTCAATTTCATTCTCTCTCCAATATACACACATTACTACTACATCACTACTTTTTAGGCACATCCTTCTTGAAATCGTTTTCAGAAGAAGATGCAGCTCGTGCTCCTGCATTTTGTCATCGAAACCTCATAATCCATTGTCACACGCATCAGAAAAAAAAAGTTTGTCCTTATAAAGGTGTATAAGACGCACGTGGAGCGTTCCAGGAGAAATTTTCATTAAAATCTTTTTTTCCTTTGTGACAATTTTTTTTTTAATTCTATATGAAAATTAAGAAAACGCGTATTATTTATTTTTTTTATTAGATGAAAATTATGAAAAAATATTTTTTTAAATTCGAAACTCTTTTTTTAATTAAGTCACTAACAATTTAATTTTTAAGTTGCTAAAGTTTCGAACTTTGAAATGAACAATATTTTAGTTAATATTTTCGTTTTTTGTTTGTTAGCTTTTTTAACAATTTTTCTTCTTAAATGTTTTTAATTTTTAAATTAAATAGTATTGAAAATAATTGAATTCTTACAAAAAATTTTTTCAAAAAATTTGAAAATAATTAATTTTTTTTGAAGAATTTTAATATCTATGAAAATAATTGAATTCTTGCAAAGAATTTTATTAACATTTTTGAAAATTCCAATTATATTCTTTTTTAGGATTTCTCTGAATTTTTTAAAAATAATGGAGTTTCATTAATAATTTTAATTGAAAATTTTGAAAGAAATTGGATTTCATGTAGAATTTCATACAAGTTTTTAAAATAATCGTGTTTGTTAATAATTAAAATTAAACATTTCATAATTGAATTTTACTAAAATTTTTAGAAAATTAAATTAAATTCTTCTCAGAATTTTATTAGAATTTTTGAAAATAATTTAATTTATTCAAGGAATTTAAATAAAATATTGAAAATACATAATTGAATTCTTTCGAAGATTAGATACTATTAAAAATTTTAACAATAATTGTATTCTTTTAAAAAATTTCGTTAATTTTCTGAATATAATTGATTTCTTTAATAATTGTAATTAATAATAAAAATTGTATGAAACTTAATGTTAGTAAATTAAAATCTTTATTTTCATTAGTTTTTATAAATAATTAAAATCTTTTGAAGTAACAAAATAAAATAATGTAGTTTTTCTTTAATAATTTTAATTGAAAATTTTGAAAATAATTGAATTGAACAAAGAATATTTTCCAACTTTTTAAAAATAATCGTGTTTGTTAACAAAATTATAATTAAAAATTTGATTATTGACTTTATTAAAATTGTATTTAAAATTATTAAATTCCTGAGAAAAATTTTATTATTCATAAAAATAATAGAACAGTTTTAAAGAATTGTATTATTAATAAAAATAATTGAATAGTTTTAAAGAATTTATTAAAAGTTTAAAAAATTTACTTCTTCCGTCGAATGTGACTATTTATGAAAATAATTGAGTTTTTGTGAAGAAAAAATGTTTGAAAATAATTGAATTGTTTTTAAAATTTTATTTAATTTTTTGAAATAATTGATTTTCTCAGAAGAATTTTATTATTTATAAAAATAATTGAATTGTTTTGAAGAAGTTAGATATTACAATTTAAAAAAAAAATTGAATTCCTGCGAATAATTTTATTATTTTTAAAAATAATTCATTTCTATGGAAGAAATTTATTAAAATTTTTGATAATAATTAAATTCCTGTGAAGTTTTTTAATATTTTTGAAAATAATTGAATTCTTTTGAAAAATTGTATTAAAAATTTAAAAAAATAATTGAATTACTTCAAAAAGTTTTACTATTTATAAAAATAATTGAATTCTTCCGAAGAAAATTATTATTTATGAAAATAATAAAATTCTTGCTAAGAATTTTATTAGTTTTGAAAACAATTGATTTTTACGGAGGAAAATTTATTTAAATTTTTGAAAATAATTGAATTCCTGTGAAGTTTTTTAAGGAAGTAATAAAATTTTTTGAAAATAATTTTTTTTTTAAATAATTGAGTTTTTGGAAAGAAAAAATTTTTGAAAATAAATGAATATTGTTTTTAAGAATTTTATTTAAATTTTTTGAAATAATTGATTTTTTGAGAAGAATTTTATTATTTATAAAAATAATTGAATTTTTCCGAAGAATATTATTTATGAAAATAATTGAATTCTTGCAAACATAATATTGAATTGTTTCCAAGAATTTTATTTAACTTTTTAAAAATAATTCAATTGTTTTTATAAATAATTAAATTCTTTTGAAAAATTTCTTTAAATTTTTTGTAGTTTTTTTAAAAATAATTTTAAGTGAAAATTTTGAAATAATTGAATAATTCTTGTGATCACTTTGCAGTTTTGAGAAAAATGACCTCTTCGAATTTCAATTTTTTAGATATACTTCCGTTGTAGATACGAAATTTCTATAAACTTTGAAAAAAATGGAATAAATTTCATATAATAAATTTTTTTCTACCTCCTATTAGTATTACAAAAAAAAGTGTTTCAAAAATCCTCGGCTTCTGAAGAAGTTGAATTTAAAAACATCCCAACTTTCACAATTTCCACTTAACAACAAAATAAAAAATACCTGATTTCTTAATTTTTAGACAGAATTCGAAAAAAATTGTCACAAAGAAAAAAAAATTTTTTTAAATGAAAACTTCTTCTGGAACGCCACATATAGAAGTGGTTCAAGAGAAGAAGAAAGTAGATATGTATTCATTGTCGCTAGCACGCGTGGCCCTTTGCCTTCACAAATTTCACATCTGCAAGGTGATAAAAGGGCAAGGGTCGAATCGGATTTATTCAACTTAGAAAAAAGACTTTAGTTTCGCCTCAAGACTTTTCCATGCGGATGAAATACTCTTTGATTCTTTTTCTATTTAATTTATTTTTTTTTCGATTTTAGAGACTTTGGAAATTTAGAGGAGCACGATTTTGACATTTATATGATTTTTACAGGGAACACTTCAATAAAAGTGTATGCCTTGTTTTCCATTGAACTTTCATTTTTTCTATCTTTCTTCCTTTCTTTCTTTCTTTCATTCATTCTTTCTTTATTTATTTATTCAAGAAAAATCAGTGTATTTCGTTTTCTTGTCATCAAAAAATTTTATTACTTCCTTTTCGAAATATTATAATACACGTTCAGGAGCAGAAAAAATTCCATTGATCTAGTTTTGTAAACAGAGCGAATGAATGGAATGAATTTTGCTTTTTGTCAAAATTTCACGACGAATTAAAATAGAATTGGACTCGCATCAGACGTGTTCTATATTTGAAAAATAAAATCTTTGATATTCAGTTTGATTGGGGAAAAAAAATGTTGAATGAAGAGACGAATTGAAAAAATAGAAGTGCCAAAAGAAATGTTTAAATTTACTTCGCAGTTTTATGGTAGTTTTTATGATAAAATGCTTGCAATGATTTAAAATTGGAAATGATTTTTTTTTCCAGAAAAATAAAAATCAAATTCCCACCTGCTGTAGTTTCGACTAAAAAAAGACAGGAAGGGGTTAAAATTGCATAAGATGTTTTGAAATGATAATAATCCGTTTGCAAAAGAGAAACGTGCTTACCCCACTAGATCGGTGGTGGCTCCTCCCTTCTCTCCCTTATTTGCTCCCCACGGTTCTCTTTTTTTTGAACCCTGCGAACACATGCTCTTCGAAGGGTGTCCCTTACTGTAGTCTAAACTACCGGTACATTTGATCGATAGACCACGATCGTGCCTCTGTCAGATCTCACACTTTATAGTTTACTTCTGCTTTTCAGTTTAGCTTTGGAGTTTTCGAGTTAGAGAGGTGTGTAAACCAATATGCGGGACGGCACGCGCGACTCACATATTTTGCTCCAGTGATCGTTATATCGTCAAAGCGTCTCGACGCTTGGCGTCTCGCGATGTAAATCTTGACAGCAGTTTCATTCTCAATTACCCTCCACTTAGCGATTGCAATCTGCAGTCAGAAAGTTTTGCATTTTCAACCCCTTTCTCTTCATTCTGGAAAAAAGACAAATTTTATTAGTTGAAAGAAATTTTTTCTTTTGCATAGAAAAACGTGTAAAAAAAATTAACGTATAAAAACGTAAAAGAAGTTGCAAAAAATCTAATTTATTCAAAATATTTGTATTTATTATTTATTACTAAATATTTGTGTTTATAATTTACTATTTTATTAATTTAACTATCTATATTGAACTATTTTATTAAATTAACTATTTATATTGAAATATTTAATTAAATTACCTATTTATATTGAACTATTTTATTAAATTAACTATTTATAATTACTAAATATTTGAAATTCTAAATACTCGAATAAATTTACTCCTTCAGTTTTGTAAAACACGAAACAATTTTGAAAATGTGTTCCTACTTATTATTCGGAATTTTTGCCTAAATTAAAAGTGTTTTGTGAAAAATTGTAATTTTTGTGACTGTGGAAAACTTTTCGGAGTTTCTGTGACAAAATAAGTGGACAAATTTCAGTGTAAAGGAAATTTTTACTAATTTTGTAAATCGTTAATTTTATGTAAGTTGAACAATGGTGAATTTTGTGAAAAAGTTACCAATCGCCAAAAAAAACCAGCAGATGACAGTGAATTAAGGAAGAATTATCGTGAGTACATTTTACAATTTCAAAACACTTATTGATATTATTATAATATTACTTGGCGATAATATCAAGAATTTAGAATTTTAATTACAAATTTCAATTTATAAATAAGGGAAAAAAGTTTATTGAAATTTATTTTTTGCTACTTTTAAAGTTTCACTAAAATTTCGAACATAAATAAAATAAACAAGTTGTTCATTTTATGACCATTAAGCTTCCTCAATATATAAAAATTGCGGTTTTGCAAACTTTTGAAAAATTATGTACAAAATTTTATGTCCAGAAGATTGGTTAAAAATAAAATTATATAAATCATTTATAAGTTGTTGTATAAATATTTGGTGAAATTTACACTTTCATTTGCCAATTGCTTCTATTTTATGATAGAATAATCATTTCAAAATATTAATATTAATATTAAATTAATTATGAAAAAAATACCAAATTTGAATTTTTTGTGAAAAAGAAAAATATTTATTAATTTTATAAATTTTGATAAAATATATACTTTGTATACATCAATCGATTCGTTTTCTTGCCAGGAATGTAATTTTGAGAATAATTAATAAAAATATTAACAAATAAAAAAATTATTTCAGAAAATACAAAAAAAAAAATTTTTTGAATTTTAAAAAAATTGTATAAAAAAAAATTTTGTACATATTTTTGAAAATCCTTGTGTCAGATTTCAGGTATTAATGACTGCAATAAACCTGCAAAATTTCAGGACAATCCATCAAAATTTGTCTGAGATAATTTGTACACAATTTTTGTGACATACACACACACACACATACACACATACACACACACACATACACACATACATACACACACACATACATCTGGACATTTGCTCATAATTGAATATACATATGTTCTAGATGAAAATGAGTCCATATAACCTTGTTTTGAAAAATTGAAAATCGTCACCAATGCAAAGCTTCCTCATGAGGAAGCAAAATGAACGAAATTTTGTTTTTGTATAAATATTTTCAAAAAATTAAAATACTATGAAAGATACAAAAATATTATACAAAATACAAAATTTAGTTAAATTAAGATTTCTTTAGTTTAGTTTTTTAGTTATTTAGTTATTTATTATTAACTTTAGATAAGTTAATTCTTTAGCCAACAATTAATTTTTTTTTAAAGACGAAATTTTTTACAAATAATATTCAAATTAAAAGAAGTAATAAAAACCAGCATTCAAAACTTTAGGGAATCTTTTAAATTTTGTTTACCTTTTTCTCAAAAACTTTAGACTCAGTGTGATAAAAAAAAATGTAACATAGAAAAAGATCTAATTTTATCGCGAAAATTGTTAAGGTTTCATTGACCTAATCGAGGGTTTATAAATCCATAATCTCGAAACCTTGTTTCACTTGAAGCAACAGTTTGTACCTTAAGTCACATACGTTCAAAGATTCCTGAACGAAAAACTTTTTCTCTTGAATAGAAAATTCAAATTTAAATTCAAATTCAAAACTAAAAGAAATATTTTAAAAATCAACAAAAATTAAAAATTAACAACTTTATGATTAAAAACTAAATTAATTAATTTATAGTTAAATCCTGATTCTTCTATTCCTCTTCAATTTCTCCCTTGTTTTCAATTATTTTTATCTTTACGTCACTAATTATACACAACAATTTTTTTTTCTCTACCACAAGACCTACTTTTCACGCGAGCCAAATTCCACATAATTCTCAATTTCAGTTGAAAAAACTGTGAAAATAATATTTTTACACACTCTGTTGAGAATTGATCTTAAAATAATTCAAGACGCAGTGTTGTGTTAAAATTAAATATTATGGAACTTGTTGGATTTTCGCAACACCATTGAACTTGAGAGAGAGAGAGAGAGAGAGAGAGAGAGAGTGAAAATTATATAAACGGAAGAAAAAAAAGAGTAGTATAAAGAAATCTTATTTCCGTTTTAAATCCCTCATTTTCGGGTGGTGCAAATGAAATAGCATTTTTTTTCTGCAGGAAACAAATGCAAAGTGCCAACGAAATTTCTTCCTGGAATTTTCGAGGGTGAATCTAAAACTTTGTCGAGGGTTGAATATCAAGAGACATACATATATAGTAGAAGGGTGTTACATTCGACTTTCAGTTTGCGAAATGAATAATCCCTTTCTGTAATTAAAATATTTATGTCGTTTGTTAAATAATTTGATGGACATTATTTTTATTGATGATGGAAATAAAAGTAAAAAATAGTATTTTTCGTTCTTTCTGAACTTTTAGAATTATTTCAGTAAGTTGCAAATAAATTAAATTGCAAATTAATACATAAAAATAATTAATTAAGAACCGGAATTCTTTAGTATTACGTAATAACTATAATAGAAAAATAATAATGATAATAATAATAAAATTATTGAAATAAAAAAAGAAAATTATTAATTAAAAGCTTCCATAAAGTTTTGAACGTTTATATGAACGAAATTTTTTTCTGTTTCAATATTATATGAAAAGAAATTAAAAAAGAGAAATAATTCAAGTATTTTTTGATATACTTTTTAAAAGATTTGTTATCTTTGTTAAATGTTTTTCAATATACAATTTTATAACTTTTTTCGCAACTATATTAAATACCATTTAAAATATAATATACTTATTGATATCTACTGAAATAAAATTATTTATATATATATGTATTTGTTCCTTGAAGGGCTTTAAGCCCTAGGAACTTGATTTTCTTAAATAAATAAATATGGAGAGAAATTTAAAAAAGAGAAATAATTCAAGTTAAACATTTATTTAGTTAAAAATTACTTTTAACGAAAAGAAATTTTTTTCTGTTTAAATATTATATAAAAAGAAATTAAAAAAAGAGAAATAATTCAAGTTAAACATTTATTTAGTTAAAAATTACTTTTAACGAAACGAAATTTTTTTCTGTTTAAATATTATATGAAAAGAAATTTTAAAAAAAGAAAAATAATTGAAGTTAAACATTTATTTAGTTAAAAATTACTTTTAACGAAACGAAATTTTTTTCTGTTTAAATATTATATGAAAAGAAATTTAAAAAAAAGAAAAATAATTGAAGTTAAACAAATATTTAGTCTTTTCAATACGCAAAATAATTCTTTTTATAAAAATTAATGAAAATTTAAAGAAGTAAAATTTTGTCGATCATTTGAACGTTCGAATAACTTTAGAAACACAATTAAAATAAAATGTTAGAAAATAAATTTTTGACTTATATTAGAAAAGACTTTTTGAAAATAAATAATCGTTTTTGATTGGAAAGTTTAAAATAATATTACCAATTCTTGTAATTATTAAAATCGTCATCACCTTGAGAATTTACGTTGAAAATTGGAAACAGAAGGGTGATTGATGAGTGCAGTAAACATCCCGCTCTTCGTTAAATCAACATCTATCGTTCCGTCATCGTATTCGTTCAAGTTTTTCTGTCTCTGAAAATAAATCCGTTAGTTTTGACACATTTGTTAATAAGCAAAAATTTGGTATGTTTACAAAATTTATCACGAATCAAGAATTTGAAAACTTTGGGAAAAAAATCTTAAGAAAAAAGTTTTTAGGAAAAAAATTTTCTGAATTCAATTGGCAAAAATGTTGTAAATTCAAAGAACTGAGACAATAAATGAAAAAAGGTTTATAGAAAAAAAAATTTCTGAATTGTCAAAATAAAATTCAAAGAACTGAGACAATAAATGAAAAAAGTTTTTAGGAAAAAAATTTTCTGAATTGTCAAAATAGTATGTAAATTCAAAGAACTGAGGCAATAAATGAAGAGGGTTTGAGTTGGTACTCAACTTTAGTATTTACAAATGCAGATTTCGAAAGGGGTGAAACTGAAAAGGGAATAAGAACAAAATTAAATATTAGTTCTCTAAAGACTAATTTTTAAACTTAAAAAAGACTAATTAGAATATTTTACCTCCTTTGAAGAATTATTTTCATTTAATTGAATAAAATCTTCAATTTAAATCTCTCTTTCTCTTAAAAACATTCCGTATCGCATTCCTCTTGAAATCAATGACACTTTTCGGGATGCATGTACTTAAACTGAATACAAGAATCTGGTACTTGAGAATATCATTGCGAAGGGATGCTGCGCGTTTTTGGAAGATGAAAGGAAGTCCATTTTCTCCTTGACGTTTTTTTCGAGTAATATACTCAAGTACTTCGATAAAAAGTCGTATCTGGAGCAGATATTAAATCTAAACTAAGAGTATCTTTCATTTTCTGTAGTTAAAAAGAATGTAAACTCATTTACTAAGTAAACTTATTTTATAATTTGTAAATTTGTAAACTTATTTACTAATTTGTAATGTAAGCGTAGGTATTTATACTAATTTGTCAAAAAAGAAAAAAAAAGTGTAATTAGAAGAATTAATTTACTCAATATGTGGTTAAATTACCTTCTGGTTCTATTTCCAGGAGTGAAAAATTCAGTATCTGGGATGAACAGTCATGACACCAGGAGCAGCCCTAATGGTTCTGCTATCATTAATGATGACAAGTTCCGCCATGACGAACTCATCATCACGGGCACATCACACCCTCACCAGGAAGGTTTCGAGTGTGAAACTGAAGAGCGGTTACATGGAAATTGTTCAGGAAGAAACGTGCTCGGATTCTCTTATTCGACTGTATTGCAGGTTTGTTGACATTGTTCCCACTTCGCGACAATTAATCAAATGAATTCAATTTTAAAGCAGTTCACTTTTTTCTTTGTTCAATTCTTATTGACAATTGTTGACACTTGACAATCCCGACAATATACTTAACGACACTGTCTGACACTGTCAAAATAATTGTACTAACCTAACCTCCAGATTTTGGCGGTTTTTAATTTTTTTTGCAATTGGTAATTCACACAGCGATTTTGCAGGTTGGCAAACCTGATCTCGATAGTTGATCGATATGACTAACCTAACCTCAAAGTCACTCAGTTGTCGTTTGTTTATAACGGAAACTTGCAGAATATTTTGAGACAAAATCTTTTTATATATTTCATATATTTCTAACAAATTTGGACGTAAAGTGTTAATTTCCGCTGTAAATAGAAAAATGTTACAAAAACGCTATACTGTAATAATCAAACTTTATTTATTTATCTATTTTGCATTGAAACCGCATTGAAGCCATTGAAACGATTTGAAGATTGAAACCAATTTTTTGAAACTAAAAGTGAAGGACCTTCTTTCAGATCACTGAGATCGATCATTTTCGTTCTGGAAGCCGAATATCATCTCCACGAAAGCAAGCACTGCGGTTACGATATAAAAGCTGTCGAAAGAGAACGTCAAAAAAAGTTACGTCAATTAGAAGAACAAAATCGATTTTACAACGTAAAACTTGCAAGATACATGCGAGAACTTTACATGGTGAAAGAAGAAAAAAAGTCGACCCATGTTGATTTTAGATCGTCATTGAACAGAAGGTGAGAAAAATTAAATATTTAATAAATCGAATTCTATTTGTACATATTCGCAGCAAAAATTAGAAGATCGAAATACCGAATTCATTTTTATCGAAAAATGAGATCTTGTCAAAGAAAGCTTCTGTGATTTTTGCAATTAATACTGTTTATTTTGAGAAAATAGTCGAATTTAAAAATACCGATTCGTTTGTTATGCTACTGAAGAAAGGCACATGTCTTTCTCACGTACTGTTTAATTATTTTTCAAAAAACTTCTGTATTCTTGGTTCTTGTTTAATTTTAGAAAATCAGATGTTTACGGATGTTTTTTTTTTTCTTTTTGAAATGTGTGAATTTCTTAAAGGGTCTAATTAGATGTGAGTGTGGTTTTCTAGTTTGCGGTTGAAGACACCGAAATTTAATATCCGTAGAGTTGTCTCATGGATGATTATCAGCTTATTATTCTCGTATTACTAAAACCACGTATTGTTTTGCAATAGTCAGAGAAATATGTGTAAAATTATTTTGACAGGTTATTTTTAGAATTACGGAAAATAAGAAGTAGATCGATTCTGACTGATCACGATCATAATTAATTTGACTTATTGGATTCTTTTTATAAACAAGAATTTTGATGATCAACAAGTTTATTTTACTTTTTATGAAAATAATTGAATTCTTGCGAAGAATTTTATTACAATTTTTTAAAATTCTAATTAAATTCTTTTAAAGAATTTTTTTGAATTTTTTTTAGAATAATGAAGATTCTTTAATAATTTTAATTGAAAAGTTTGAAAGTAATTGAACTTTATGAAGAATGTCTTTGAAGTTTTTAAAATAATCGTGTCTGTTAATAATTATAAGAAAAATTTGATTTTAAATTTTATTAATATTGTATTGAAAATAATAGAATTCCTGAGAAGAATTTTATTATTTATAAAAATAATTTAATTTATGCGAAGAATTTTACTTTAAAAATAATTTAATTCTTGCAAAGAATTTTACTATTTACAAAAATAATTGAATTTTTTTGAAGAATTTATTAAAAGTTTAGAAAATAATTGAATTATTTGGAAAAATTTATAAAAATTTTAGAAAATAATTGAATTATTTTGAAAAATTTATAAAAATTTTAGAAAATAATTGAATTATTCCGAAAAATTGAATTTTTTAAAAATATTAATGGAGTTTTTTTAATAATTTTAATTGAAAATTTTGTAAACAATTCAATTTTATGAACAATTTCGTTCAAGTTTTTAAAATAATCGTGTTTGTTATTAATTGAAATTATGCATTTGATTATTGAATTTTATTAAAATTTTTAGAAAATAATTATACCTATTATTGGTAGAATTTGATTACAATTTTTAAAAAAAATTATTGCGAAGAATGTTACTACATATTTATAAAAATAATTGAATTGTTTTGAAGAATTTAATAAAATTAAAAATAAATTTAATTCTTTCGAAAAATTTTATTAAAATTCTATTAAAAATAATAATTGCATTCCTGCAAAGAATTTTACTATTTATAAAAATAATTAAATTAGTCCGAAGAATATTATTTATTATTTATGAAAATAATTTAATTGTTTTCAAGAATTTTATTTTAATTTTTGTAAATGATCAATAATAATTAATAATGTACTTTAATAAATGAATTTTCAAAATTTTGAATCTGAAATTATTTAAAAATATTGAAGTTTATATTTGAAAATAAAAAATTTTGTAATTTGTATAATAACAATAACAAATTAAATATCAAGTTTCCCGCTCATAATTTATTAAATAATTGTAATTTAGTATTTTTTGCTTTTTAATTTATTTTTACATTTTGATTTGAAAAATTGTCAAATTGGAATCTCTGGTTTTTGAAAGTAGCACGCTTCTGGGTATTAAATTAAAATTAAAGTACATCTTGAGTTTTAAAGGAGGCCTTTTTTAAGACCCTCTGGTCTATTTTCATTCAAACCTACTTCTGTGGAAGATTCCGCAGAGCTTATGGTCTTCTCAGCATTGTGAAATGTCTACATATATATTATATATATATGTACACATTGCAACAATGATCAAATAAAAACGACGTATATTTTGAATGAATAGAGTGCAGATGTGCCACAGAAAGGCGAAAATTCTCTTCACATTCAAATCTTAAGGGGGGGGAGCCGTTAACCAGATTTTCCTCCTTTTATACATATAAAAATTATGTCCTGGGTAAAAAATACAAATATGAATATTTTTCTCCCCTAAAATTAACATTTTTTCTTTTATTATTTTTTCCCTTTGGTTTTTTTTGCATTCGTATAATAATAATAATAATAATAATAATTTTTTTTATTTTAGGTGTCTACGGTTTAGAAAAGTATAGTGAAAAGAAAAGTGTGAAAATTTACTAAATGCATGAGTATCGAGAAGTAAAAAAATGTGACAAAAAAAATTAGGCATATAATACTAAATATACAAGGGTGTAAGTTGGATCCTCTTGGGGTTGCCAGGACCTGAAACTAAATACCCTAGCAAATATAAATTTTGGTTTATTATTGCGAACCCCTATAGACGCCATATGATTTTATGCTGAAGTCATTCTCCTGTAACTGTTCGTCATTCACTAATAGATAATTTTCTTTTATTTTTTTTGAGAGAGAGCTGTTTATTTTTCTCTTATCATCAATAAAATTTTCCGAAACGTTTATACAGGAATTTAAAAATTCCATCATTTATTAACAGTTAGAAGTCGATGACAGTTGCTTTTTCTAAAAACTTGGTAAAATTGTTTTTTCTTTATCGGGTAAAAATCTATGTTGTAAAAATAAATTGCTCTCAGTAGAGTTTTACAGAGTAATTTCGAAACTGTATAGAGAGAACATGTGCAAATGTATCGATGCTTGACAAAAGGGTGGCTTTTTTCCTCTTGCATAGAGGTGGGGTTTGTAAATCAAACCCTTCGGCGTTTTTGAGCTTGCAATATATTCGTCAACGATAATTTCTTTCTCGAATAATCAACTTTTAAAATAATGGGAAATATGTCATTTTTTATCATTATTTTCTTTATGTGCGTGTACCCATCGTAAAATAAGAAAAAAAATTTAAGTTTACAATTCAAAAAAAAAATTTCGACATTCAAAAGCAGGGAAATTTTTTTTCTATTTCAAAAATAGAAAATCAAGATTTCTATATAAAAAATTATTATTCTGAAATTAAATATAATGTAAAATTAAATATTTTTCAGGGTTGTCACAGGTCAGATAAATCAGGACATTTAGAGAAAAGACAGGACAAATGAAATTCGTCGAGGAAATCAGGGAAATGTCAGGGAATTCTACCAAATGTGCTGGGAAAATAACAAAATTCTAGAATCACTGCAAAAATTCTCGTTTTTGGCGTTAAAAAATATTTAGAATTTTTTTTTATTTCAAAACTTAGAAATTGGAAATTTTGAAATTTTTTTAATACTTTTAATTTTAATTCTAAATAATTCTTCTTGGATTTTTTTTCACTTGATTTCTTATTTTTGAAAGTAATTTAATTTATTTTAAACAGTTAAATCCTAGTTAGCTAAACTGAATTCATTTCAATTTAATTTATTTAAAGAATTTATTAACTTATTATTAATTAATTTAAAGTCAATTTAAATCAGTTCAATTTAAGTTTAGAAAAAGCTGTAAAATTCTATTTCTGCTAAATAGAACAATTTTAAATTAAATTCTGACTTTACTGATATTTTTAATTACTCTAAACTTGAAAAAGATTTTAGTTAAAAACAGTTGCAATTTTCGAAGATATATAATTTAATTTCAGAAGGTTTTTAAAATAGGATTTTTAAAATTTTCAATTGTTGCCAAGAAATTATTAATAATTCAATATTTATTTAAAAAGTGATTTCAGTTTTAATTACTATTATTTGAAATTCTTAAAAAATAATTTTTATGTGAAATTTTGATTCAATTTTTATTTTTTATACTTGAATTTCTATTATTCTGGAATGAAAAAAAAATTATTAATGAATCATCAGAATTAATTCCAATTTTGCCAAATCGAATTGAAAATAATTGAAATTAAAGAATTTTATTACAGTTTTAAAAAAACTTAATTTTGAAAGAATTTAATTTAATAATTGCTAAAAAAATTGAGTATATTAGTTTAAAAAGCCTAAATTGCTTCTAAAATAATTTATTTTTAAAGTGTTCTAATACAATAATAATTTTTATTAATTAGTTAATTTTTTCAAAAAATTCAAATTTACAATTTTGCTCAAAACTTGAATTTCCGAAAAACTTTATTTAAAATTCTAAAGAATTATATTTTTAAATTATTTTAATTCTATTAGTTAAAGAAAATTGAAGTTTCATAAAAAAGTAATTGAAATAATTGAAATCTATTAAATTTTTATTAAAATTAATTTAATTTTTTAAGAAATTAATTGAAATGTTTAAAGATTGAGAGAAAAATTAAAATTAAAAAAAATTCAAAGGGAGTTCAATTATTAAAAGGCTCAAGCAACTCTGTTCTTTAATTAAGAATTAATTTTTTTAATATATACAAAATAATTTTCTCAATATAATTCATATTAATAAAAAGTGAAAAAATAAATATCGTTCGAAACTTTAGGAACATGAAAAAATATTTTCCATATACAGGAGAATTTGATAAAAAGAAATTACATTAGTTTATTTACAATTTTATTTTATTTTTTATATATTATTGTAAAATAGTGTTTTTAAAGTAAATGTAGCTTCAATGTAGGAAAATTAGCATGTCACATCTATAAAATAGAGAATAATAGCATTTGCAGATAACGTCATTGACCTAAGGGTTAATATTCGCGACACCAGTTTATTAATAATACAAAGTAGTAGGATATGTAACAGTAGTAATCGATCTCCTCCACTTGGAATTAACCATAAGAAGACTATTATGTGATAAATTCACATAATTTTCAGATCTGATTATCAAATATCAGAATTTATAATTTAATTATTATTTCTAAATGCGAAAATTCTTAAAATTCGTATTTTAAAAATGCGCTTTTTCATAGATATACATTTTTGAAAAAATATTGCATAAATGATCAAGAAGTTTCAAACTCTCAAATAAACAAAAATATTTTCGTTCATTACCAAAAATGCGAAAAATATTTTTTATAAATTACTGATTGCAATGAAAGGCAGAAGCTTACATTTTACATTATTGGAAAATAATTTATTTTTTTTGTAAAGACGCACAATTATAATAAAAATTTATTATTGGAAACCTTAAAAATTAATTTTTTTTTTATAGAGACGCAAAATTATTGTAATTAAAATTTATTATTGGAAACTTTATGATTAATTGTTTCTTATAGAGACGTAAAATTATTGCGATAAAAATTTATTATTAGAAACTTTATGATTAATTTTTTTTTTATAGAGATGCAAAATTATTGCTATAAAAATTTATTATTGGAAACATTACGATTAATTTTTTTTATAGAGACGCAAAATTATTGCAATAAAAATTTATTATTTGAAACATTACGATTAATTTTTTTATAGAGACGCAAAATTATTGCAATAAAAATTTATTATTGGAAACTTTATAATTAATTTTTTCTTATAGAGACGCAAAATTATGCTAATAAAAACTTAATTTGGAGAAGAAATTAAATTTCGGGTTCATTTGAACGTTCGGAAGTTTAGGATAATTTTAGTAGAAATTTATCTCGAATAAATAAAAAATAATCTAATTTATAAAAATTTTTGTTTGTTTGAAAATATTATAAGTAAAATATTTTTCCTTTTTTCAGATGCTCAGGACAACAACATTGTAGATACAAAATGTCCTCGGATCATCCTGGACCTCCTATTTGGAATCCAGCAAACATTCGTGTAAAATATGCATGTATACCTGGTAAGAAAATTTTTTGTTGAATATACATAATACGAATGTAGGAAAATATTACCCATCAATACTGGAGATTTTCTTTAATCTCTCACTATTATTGTTGGTATTAATATCAGGATATATTCATTTGTATGCATATACATAGAAATTGTACAAAATGTAGACAAAAAGGAACATGCGGTGCACCTACCGCAAACGCCGATCACAATAGGACCCTTTTCCGAAATATTCAGAAAAATATTGTATATATAGGAATCGAACAGCTGTGAATTCAGTGCATTTCTAATCCAAATTGTGGAGGGTTGGAAAAATAAATCTACCCTCAATGCTTTTAGGTGCACTTATAGTTTTTATCAAAAGTTCCGTTTGCGACAAAAATTAACAATGAATCATATGTATATAGAGAGAGAAAGAGAGAGAATATGTAAATATACTTTGGTTCAGATGTCAAGAAATTGGATATTTGCCATAAAGTAAAGTGCTTTCGGTCAACAGGATTGGAGGAAAATATTATGTTTCTGTAAAAGTAAAAATAACAGTTGTTATTAACTTAACAATTTTTTTTTTGAATAGTAACTTTTGATTTGGAAAGTTTTAATATTTTCACGTCAGATTTTTTCAATTGCAATGTCTTTTACTCGTTGCTTCCATACAATTAGAGAAAATTTTTTTTTTTAAAAAGGAATATAATAAATTAACACATTTTTTTAGAAATACTAAAATTTTAATTAAATTAAATAAATTTAATTTTTGAATTTCGAATAAAAAGTAAATTACTAAAATTTTTTAAATTCAAATTTTCTCGCTGGGTAAGAAACTTTTGCTCAAAAGTTTCCGTTAAATTCGTACAGAGGCCACCAGTTACTTAGGTCACGGTTTTAAAATGAAAGAATTTTCTTTTCTTTTTTAACACATAATGAAAATTAAACTATTCTTTTATTATTTGAAACTTAATTAAAATTTTAAATTCTTATTAATTTTTCAAATTTTCACCGAATTATGACAACAAATTATTTAGTTAGTCCCACCTTTTTTCGCAAAGTTATTTAATATTTTTTATTAGGCGTTCAATGAAAATTTAAATATTGATTTCAAATTTCCACATGATTTTAATATTTAATTGATTACTAAATTAATATTCATAAGCAAATAAAATACTATGATTCCATTTTTGAAAAAAATTTTATTTCTCTATAATTTTTATGCGCACAAAATATAATATTCGTTTTGACACAAGTTAAGTAAATAAGGGAATTTGAATAAAATTCGGGAAAATCAGGGCAAAATCAGGAAATTTTATCAAAAGTTCGGAAAAAATGTTAAATTTTTAGAATTTTTTAGAAAAATATAAAATTTTTGGGACCACCTTTAAAAAAGTTAAAAAGATTCTATTCTTCTTGAATTTTTTTTATTTGTCTTGAAAAAAAAAATTTCAAATCAAAATGTTGAAATCAGAAATTTTAATATATAAAAACCCAAATTATTTTTATTTTGGACAAATGAACTTTACAGAATATAAAATTAAATTTATTATAAATAATTAATTTTTGAAGAACTAACATGTAATATTATTACTTATAAATTATTATAATGAATAATTATACTAAAAAAAATTCCAAAAATAATTTTTATAAGAGTTGCATTTTCAAATATTATAAACAATTGAATTTCAAATCATTTCAAATTAAAATTTTTGAAAATTTGAATGTTTAATGATTTTAATGAAAAATTCCGAATGAGTTAGTTTTTCGAAAAAAATTTTATTTACATTTTTTGAAATTATTAGATTTTTTAAAATATTTAATTGCAAAATTTTCGAATATTCGAAATTTCATAAAATCGAATTAGAAAAAAATTGTAATTTTAGAATTATTTCAGGTGAACTTTCTATTTTTCTTTTAATAATTGAATTCTGAAAGAATTTTCTAAAAACTATTAAAAAATAGTAAATTTAGAGAATAATATTTTAGTTAAAAATTTCAAAAATATCTCAATTTTGATAAGAGTGTGTTGACAATTTTTATAAATAATTGAATTTCAAAGATTCCAAATTTAAATTTTTAAAAATTTGAATCTTAAATAATTGAAATTGAAAATTTTGTAGAAGTAAAATAAGTGGATTTCAGAATTATTTTATAGGTGAACTTTTTTTTCTTTGAATATAACTGAATTCTAAAAGAATTTTCTCAAAAATTATTGAAAATAATTGATTTAGAAAAGAATTTGAATTAAAAATTCCAAAAATAATTGAGTTGAAATTAGGAAAAAATTTATTTTCCCAACCCTGCATATACAAATTATTTATACAAAATAATGCTCAAACAATGCTTTCAAATTGATTTATCAAAAATTTTGTTCGAATATTTATGATGTAAATTTTAAATATTTCGTTTGACAAATGAAGAACGTGCAACATTGAAATTTATGAATTTTTGCTACAATATTAAAATTTTATCGGGAAAGTGACTAATTATGCAAGCTGGTACATTTTCCTGACTCAATCAAGTACCTCCGACTCTTCAGTTGATAAAATGCTGTGCCAACTAAATCACTAAATAAGTAGTCACAATGTAAAGAATTTAAAAAAATCGAAAGAAATTCGTCTTTTATTTTTTTAAATATCTTTTTTTTATTTTAGTATCAAACAAGAAAAAATTGTATTGCTACAATGAAAAAGAATGCGCATTTGATTCAAAGCCCTTGTCTATTATCAAATAATTTTTAATTAAATCTAATAATTTTTAATTAAGTCAAATAATTTTTATTGAAATTAAATAGTTTTTATGTAAATCAAATAGTTTTTATTTAAATCAAATAATTTTTTGTTAAAATCAAATAAATTTTACTATTTCAGTATTTGATTCAAATACCATTTGATTTAAAACCTTTCTTGGTTTCGAGTCACATTTGATCTAAGTAAATATTAATTCGATAATAGACAAATTTTATTTATTTATTTATTTATTAATAAATTCATTTGAATTAAATTTTTTTTTCCAGTGTACCAAGAAAAGAATAAAGCGAAAGATAAGTTACATCAATTAAACGGAGAATAAAAGAAAAAATTCGTGCAATTCTACTTGACAATTTCCAATTTGTTGAGATAGGACGTGTGTGGTTCTATTTGCCCTATACCTGATATTCTCTGTGTACAGGGAATCAAGACAAATAGAGAAAGAAGGAAAAAACACGTTTTTATGTACATGTATATCAAGTGCAGGGGAATAAAATTGATGATTCCCCTTCGACGCCCTACAATCGGTCCAATTCCTACCACCAACATTTATATTCCCTCTCCTAGTTTCGCAGCCGCCCAACTTTACACCCCCGAGAGAAATTGGGACAAGGGCACACTTGTGTCTATTCACACAAATATAATATATCCCCCCAGACATCGCTGATATCAAATTTATGACTTTTCATAATGTTTCCAACACATACGAGACAGTGTTCTCTTGATGCTGGAGAAAAAAAAGAAGAATCGCTTATTTTTTTCTTTTTTTTAACAAAAGTACAAATGCATTATTTCGAAACTCAAACACTGACTGTGCGGCTACTTTCAAAACTATTCTTTTCAACAATCTATTATTCAAGTTAACAAGAATATTTTATTTCAATTTAGACAAGAATTTATTTGAAATCAAATAAATAAAGAAGAGAGAAAAAACAGACGTCGATTGAAAAAGAAAGTTTTCTTGTCTTCTTTCTTTATTTGGAGTCAAATAAATTTTTCTCTAAATCAAATAAAATTCCTATAAACTTTAGTAAATGCTTGAAACTTTTGGAATTGGAATCTCACAAGTTCAAATAATTTCTTTATTTCAGAAAAAAGTTTTCTAATGATCATTATATACCTATTTTGTTTTGTTTTTTGTTTCTTCTCTTTAAAAAATCGTATTCGGTATTCTTTTCTTCTTTTTTATATTTTTTTTTTGATAATTTTTCTTTTTAAATGTCTTCAGTGTGGAAATTATTAATAAATATTAATTAATATATTAATTAATAATTTAACAATAAAATCAATGAAATTTTAATTTCATGTTTTGAAGAATAAATAATTATAAAAATTAATTAAGCAAAATTGTTTTGTCGTAATAATCAAAATTTATTTTTGTATATTTAATTTGACATTCTGAAACTAAAAAATATTAACTAAAAAATTATTCTAAATTAATAATAAATAAATTCATTCAATTTTAAAAATTCCATATCAGTTTTGTCCAAATTTTAGTTCAAATTTTTACTAATTTAGATTTAGAGAATAAGTTTTGCGAGACTCTTTTTCCAAGAAAAATTCAATTAATTTCAAATATTTTGACAAAATTCTTGCCAAGAATTCAATTATTTTAAATAAAATAAAATTCATCGCAGGAATTCAATTTAATTAAAATTTTAGAAAACAATTTAATTTTCTGGCGAAATTTTATTTTATTTTATTTTATTTAAAATAATTTAATTCTTGGAAAAATATTTAAAATTAATTGGATTGTATCAAAGAATTTCATTAAAATTGTTGAAAATAATTAAACCGTTTTATTAAAACAAAAAAAAATAATTCAATTTTTGCAGCTATTAAATTTTGTTTAAATAATTGAGTTATTTAGAGAAATTTTCTTCAAATAGTAAATATTTGAAAATAATTGAATTTCAGAAATTTATTAAAATTTTATTGAATATATAATTAAATTCTTACAAAGAATTTGATCAAGATTATTGAAAATAATATTGAATTCTTACGAGAAATTCTATCAAATTTTTTGAAAATAATTGAATTCTTACGAGAAATTTTATTAAAATAATATTGAAAATATGTAATTGAATTCCTGCGAAAATAATTGAATTCTTTTAAGAAGTTTTGTTAAATTTTTTTAAATAATTGAATTATTACGAGAAATTTTATAAAAATTGTATTGAAAATAATTGAATTCCTGCGAAAATAATTGAATTTTTCCGAAAAATTTTGTCAAAATTTTTAAAAATAATTGAATTTTTACGAGAAATTTTATAAAAATTGTATTGAAAATAATTGAATTCCTGCGAAAATAATTGAATTCTTTTGAGAAGTTTTATTAAGATTTTTCTAAATAATTGAATTATTTCGAGAAATTTTATTGAAATTGTTTAAAAAATAATTGAATTTCTGCGATAATAATTGAATTCTTTCGTTAAATTTTATTAAAATTTTGTTTAAAAATTGAATACTTTGCAGAAATTTTTATAAAATTCTTAAAAATAATTGACGAATTATATTAAAATTTTATTTTTATATGAAAATAATGAATTTCTTTCTAAAAAGTTTATTTGTATAAAATGTAGTTGTGTTCTTGTTACTTATATTTAAATAAATAAAAAGAAAAAAAGTTCTATTGAAAATAATTGAATATATTTTATTAAAATTTTTGAAAATAAATGTTGGCATTTTGTTTTTTGTTTCAGAAGTAGAAATAAAAAAATATTGCAATCTACATGTGAAGGTGATAGAGGGGGAGGAAGGTTACATCAGAAATCCAGGATATCCTCTCTATTATCTTGGAGAAAATTCTTGTGGGTGGATATTTAGATCTCTCCCTGGGCAGAGGATAGAGCTGACAATTCACGACCTCCATATTCGCGGTAAGTGCTTTTAAGTTCTCGAATTTGCCACTCGATGTCTTTGATCTCATCTCAGGGTTAAAACTCTCATATTTCTTTCATATACATATATATCACGTCCTAAATTTTTTGCAACGTAAAAAGCTCAGCAAGAAAGTATAGAAAAAAAGTGGATACTCATTTTTTTGAAAACTTAATCCATTATATATTGAAATATTCAGTGGGCTTTTGTGTCGCATCATGAATAATTTTAAAATATGAGGTAACTAAAATTTTCACTCTTAAGTCTTTCAAAAATGTTATCAATATTTTTTTATTTTATGTTTCTATAATTTATATTTCTCAGTGACAATTTTTTAACAAAATTCCTATTTTTTTTTAATAAAGGGCAATTTTTTCATAAATTTGATTTTTAATCACAATTTTTAAATTAGAATAAAGCTGAGAATTTTTCGAGTTTTATAAAATCATGGGAAGAAATTTTCGTAATTTTGATTTTACATCACAAACTAAAGTTTCGAACCTTCAAATGAAGGAAATATTTTTTTTAATTCTAATATTTTTGCAAATTACAAGATTGAAATGAAAAATACGGCAAACGAACATAATTAAAAATAAATTCTTTAATTATAAAAAATAATATTTTGCCTAATAAAATATAAATTCAAAGAAGTCTTTTTATTGCAAGTTTAAAAAACAGTTTTAAAAAAAGTAAATATTAAAAAATACATATTTTTCTTAAATAAATTTTGGAATAAATTAAAAATCCTTATTTTATGAAATATGGTAGTAAATAAATATTTTCTATTTGCAGCTCATGAGCTGGATGGAAGCTGTGTGGATGTCATAAGAATAAGAGACAGTGGCAAAACAGTTTACGAAAATTGTGGAACCGCTGCTGGAATTACTGTAATTTCAAATACAAATTTAGTAACAGTTGACCTAGTTGCATCGAAGAATTTGTATCCTGCTCGTGGATTTTTGTTGCAATATAAAGGTATCTTCATTTTATTAATTCAAACCAATATATATTTCGTAGATAATTATTTCCTTTTTGGGATTAAAAGGCTTTTTTGTAAAATTCAATTATATTCCAAATTTTTAATTGGAATTCGTCAAAAATACGATTCTACTTAAAAATAATTGTTAAAAGTAAAAAAAATGAAATTCTTAAAATATAAAATTTATTTCAATAAAATTTGATACAATTTTCAATTGCTTCAATTTTTTAAAAATTATTTTCGGGAATTCAAATCTTTTTTGCAAAATTGTAATTACAATTTTCCAAATATCTAATTTTTTCAGAATTTCTAAATTAAATTATTTACAACTTAAATAATTTTGGTACTTGAATTTTAAATAATTTTTGTTAAATTAATATTTAAATTTAGTTTTCCACAAAAAGTAAAATTTTTAATAATTTGAATATAAAACTTTTTAAAAACTAATTGCTTCTAAATATTACTACTGCAACGCTTTTGAAATTAAATTATTTTTTGAAATTTTAACTAAAATTATTTTTTAAATTAATTCTTAATAGGAAGTTTTATGAGAATTCAATTATTTAACAAAAAAAAATTGTATAGGTAACAATTGAAGATTTCTAAATAATTGAATTCTCATAAAGAATTTTATCAAAATTTTTGAAAAGAATTGAATTCATTCGAAGGATTTTTAATAGTAATTGGATTTTTTGAGTAAAGCAATTAAAATTGTATTCAAAATAATTAAAATCCAGCGAAGAATTTGATTATTTATGAAAAGAATTGATTTTTTGCAAAATATTGTATTAATTTTTTTTTTAATATTTGAATTCTTTAGGTAAACTTTTAGTATTTTTTTTAATGTAATTGAATTTTTTCGAGGAATTTTATTATAAATGTATTGCAAATAATTGATTTCTTTTTAGAAATTAAATTACAATATTGTATTCAATATAATTGAATTAATATAAACAAATTTTTTCAAAATTATTAAAAATATTTGATTTCTTGTAGAGAATTTTGTCGAAATTTTTCTAAATATTTGAATTGTTTTGAGAAAATTTAATAAAATAGTAAATATTGAAAATAATTTGATGAAATAATTAAACAAAATTTGTTTTCAGTAAAGTAGTAATAATTTTTAAGAATAATTAAATTTTTTTAATAATTTATTTAAAATTGTTTTAAAAAATAATTGAAATCCTGCGAATAATTTGACTACTTTTGATAATAATTGAATTCTTATATTAAAATTTATTAATAGTTTTAAAAATAATTAAATTCCTGTGAAAAATTCTATTATTTATGAATATAATTGAGTCATTCCATTATATTTCGACTAAAGTCGTTGCTGACTAATTTTAAAAAATTATAATATTTTGCAGGAATGATGTTAAAGATATTAGGATCACCGAACAAAAAGAATTTTTTAAATATTTTTTATATTTATTGTAAAATAAGCATCTAAAGTATATGAAGTCGTAAAAACTGTCACATTTTCATCTATTAGAAAATATTAAAGAAAACACATAATTTACTATAAAAATGTAAAAAAGTTATAAGAATTTATTAAGAAAGAATTGTTTTATTATTATAAATTGATAGAAACAATTATTAATAAGAAATATTAAATAAAAAAGGATTTTTAAGTTCACCTGCCAAATAACCTAATTTTGCAAATTTCATTCACTAAATGTGAGAAAGAGAAATCATTAAATTAAATAAAACCTTATGAAATATAAAGTACCTGTGATTAACTTTTAGTTTTTCTTATCACTTTCTTCCTTTTTTCTTCATAAATGTTAAAAAATAAGCAATTAAAACTGGCACTTTGCTTATTTTCACGATTTTAAAATGCAAATAACTTCAGCCCAGAAAAATGAAAAATTACGAAAATTGGGCAATAATTATTTGATCACTAGATACACTCACTGGAAAAAGATTTTCTTTGGTCCCGAAGCTATTTTCCGAATTCATTAACTTTAAACTTTTTACTATTTTTATCAGGTTAATACATGTGTTTTTTAAAGGACGAAGTTAGCTCTTCTTGTTTAATCGTTTTGAACCAACTTCAGTTTTAAAAAAATCACATGTATTAACCTGATAGAAATAGTGAAAAGTTTAAAATTAATTATTTCGGAAAATAGCTTCGGGACCAAAGAAAATCTTTTTCCAGTGAGTGTATTTAGTGATCAAATAATTATTGTCCAATTTTCGTAATTTTTCATTTTTCTGGGCAGAAGTTATTTGCATTTTAAAATCGTGAAAATAAGCAAAGTGCCAGTTTTAATTGCTTATTTTTTAACATTTATGAAGAAAAAAGGAAGAAAGTGATAAGAAAAACTAAAAGTTAATCACAGGTTCTTTATATTTCATAAGGTTTTATTCAATTTAATGATTTCTCTTTCTCACATTTAGTGAATGAAATTTGCAAAATTAGGTTATTTGGCAGGTGAACTTTAAAATCCTTTTTTATTTAATATTTCTTATTAATAATTGTTTCTATCAATTTATAATAATAAAACAATTCATTCTTAATAAATTCTTATAACTTTTTTACATTTTTATAGTAAATTATGTGTTTTCTTTAATATTTTCTAATAGATGAAAATGTGACAGTTTTTACGACTTCATATACTTTAGATGCTTATTTTACAATAAATATAAAAAATATTTAAAAAATTCTTTTTGTTCGGTGATCCTAATATCTTTAACATCATTCCTGCAAAATATTATAATTTTTTAAAATTAGTCAGCAACGACTTTAGTCGAAATATAATGGAATGACTCAATTGAATTCTTGCGAAACATTTTATTAAAATTTTTAAAAAGTAATTAAATCCTTTCGAAGAAATTTATTAGATTTTTTTTAAATAATTGAGTTCTTTTAGGAATTTTTTTGAAAAATAGTAGTTATTGAAAATAATTGAATTACAGTTAAAAATTTCACTATTTGTGAAAATAATCGAATTCTTGCGAAGAATTTTTTTTAAATTTTTGGAAATTATAAATTATAATTGAATTGTTTCAAAGAATTTTATCAAAATTTTTGAAAATTATTTTTTATTTCATTTTTTAGCGGATTTAAAGTAAGACAAATTTTCAAAAAAAAAGAAAGATTTAAGTGTCACAGTTTTCCTAATGATATCAAATTGAGTCAAAAAACGAATCAAAAGTGTTGCGAAGCAACGCTTTTGATTCGTTTTTTGTCTTAATTTGATATCCTCAAAAAAACGTTGGTTACAAATCTAAGAAATATATTCAAATAGTACTAAATCGCAAAAAGTAATAAAAATACTAGGTTTTAATAATATTCCTTTAAGTATTTTTGCAAAAAAAAAAATTGATTTTCGTATGAATCTAATAATATTGAATAAAAATGTAATATTTATGTTCGTATGAAACACGCCTCGATAAAGAAATATTTTTATCACATGAAATCGAAGACGCAGTCACGTGTAAAAAGTTTTGAGTTTATATTTGAAACGCATGGAAATTCTGAGAGAGAGAGAGAGAGAGAGAGAGAGAGAGAGAGAGAGAGAGAGAGAGAGAGAGAGAGAGAGAGAGGTCGTCGATTTGCGTAATTTTATTATCATTTCATATATAAACTGCTTTGTGGGGGAAGATGATTTATTTTCATCAAAATGAATGAATAAATTATAATAGATATTGTTCCTCTTTTCTTTCGCGATAAAATTCCAGATGTTGTGAATGCTTTTTTTTGTCGTAAATGGAAAAATTCTATTTTCCATAATGGAAAAAAGTTTTTGCACAATATTTTTCAACGCTCTTGTTGCTTGAGCTTTATTGTGTTTATAAATTTTTGCGACACAAAAAAGAGTAGTAAAATTGTTATAATATCTTTCGCAACAGACATAAAAGAAGAATTATTTTCTACGAGCATTTTTTTTTTCGTTTGATTTTCAATATTGTTGTGGTAATGATTTTCAATAAATTTAAATTTATATAAGCCTTTTAAGTTCTGAATGGTCAAATTAAAATTTTATTGCAATATTGAATTATTTATGAAAATATTTAAATAGAATAAAAATATTCGTTCATTTGAGCGAATATTTTTAATAAATGAGATTTTAAGACTTAATTTTAAGACTTCAGGAAAATTCTTGATAATAAAATTATTTAGTTGAGAAAATACGATATTTTATTGATATATAACTGTTGATTATTTAAAATATTGCAATAAGGCATATGTTTCCAATAATTTTTTGACGATAAACTTTTCTGCAGTTTTAGGTTGTCCTGACGTATCAGCACCAAACGGAAGCATTGTGTCGAATGGAACCCTTGAAACTAGAACTTTCCAGTGTCGAATGGGTACGATATTTCCGGACTCAAAGCAAAGAACAAAAACAATCGTTTGCAAAAATGGTCGATGGGACATAAGCATTCAAACTCTGACAAGTTGTGTTGGTGAGTCTATCTATTCTTTTTATCCCCTATTTTTAATATAAATGTACGATCGAAATTATTCCTTTTTCGGTCTCATATCTTTCCAGAATATTTTTTTCGTGGTTTCTTTATATCTTTTCTGCTGATCTTCATTATTCAGATATTTTTTTTTGCAAAGAAAAAAATTCCACAATCTTTTATTTATGAAAAAAAATTTATTTCATTTTCATGGCAAAATTGATGCAATTATATTTTTGAGCCTGGAAAGTAAGAATCGAAAATATTATAATTAAAATAATAATTAAATAATAGTCTTCAGGAATTACTGGATAATCATATTTATTTAAATAATTATCCAGTAAATCCTGAAGATTATTATTTTATTTGTAATATCACTGGATGTACGAATGTTTCAATTTAAAAGAATAATTAATAATTTAGGGTTCCGATCAAAGAACCGGTTATACATTTTTAAGACTCAAAATCACTATTTTCAAAATAAAATATTTCCATTTCAATTTTTATGGATTAAAAAAATGTATCAAACACTGAAAAATTAAAAAGCAAAAAAATTTATTCGATTTAAATATCCGATTGCTTTTCCATTATCAAAATAAATATAGGCTTCGCTCTTGATAATTATTTTAAATAATTTTAATATAAAATTCATTTCAAAAAAATTTTGTAAAATTTCCAATTGTTTCAATTTTTTAAAACTATTTTTGTGAATTCAATTATCTTCAAAAAAATTTTAATTACAATTTTTTTAAAAACTAATTTTTTCTATAATTTCAAAATTAAATTACATTCAAAACTTGAATATTTTTTGTTATTTTTGGTAAATAAATATTTAAATACATATTTTGTTTCCCACAGGAATTAAAATATGCAATTTTTTTAAAATTCAATTATTTTTTAGAATTTTTAAATAAAATTATTCCAGGAAACTTTAATAATTTTTAGGAAAATAATAGTCTGAACATAATTTCAAATAAATCTCTAAATATTATAAGAATTTTACTCACGTATTAAAACTTTTGAAGATTTAAATTTAAAAACTTTTTAAAATTTAATTGTTTTTAAAAATTGCTACTGTATCGTTCCTAAAATCAATTCTTTTTTAGCAAATTCTTTGAGAATTTAATTATTTAAAATAAAAATAAATTATTTCCACAAATAATCAAATTCTTCGCACGATTTCTATTTTTTCAAAAATAAAATAAAATGTTTAAAAATAATTTAAAATTTTGAGTAACATAAATAAATTGTTTTTGAAAAAATTGAAATCCTGTGTAGGTAGAATTTGATTATTTATGGAAACAATTGAATTTTGCAATAAGAAATTGTTTTAATTATTGTTTAAATATTTAAATTCCTATGAGGAAAAATGCTAGTATTTTTGAAAATAATTGAATATTTAAAAAATTTTTCAAAATAATTAAATTTTTCGAGGAATTAAATTATAATTGTAGTGAAAATAATTGATTTTTTTTAAAGAAGTTTAATAAAATTATTAAAACCAACTGAATTTCTCGTGAAATTCAATTAAAATTGTGTTCAAAATTGAAATCATGCGAAAAAAGTTATTATTTATGAAAATAATTGAATTTTTGCGAATTAATTTTTTTTAAATATTTTAATTCCTGAGGAAAAATTTTAGAATTTTGAAAATAATTGAATGTTTTTGGAAGAATTTTTTATTAAAAATTTTGAAAATACATAATTGAATTTTTGTGAAAAAGTTTAAATATTTTAATTTCTGAAGGAAACTTTAAAAATTTTTTAAATAATTAAATTTTTTTTTTTAATTTTGAAAATAATTAGATTTTTGTGTAGAACTTTTAAATATTTGAATTCCTGAGTAAAACTTTTAGAATTTTGAAAATAATTGAATTTTTGAGAAGAATTTTTAAATATTTGAATTTCTGAAGAAAAATTTTAGAATTTAATTTTGAAAAATAATTCCTAAAAATTGTGTTAAATAAAAATTATGTAATACAAATAAATATTTATTTGATAATAATAGACAAGGAATCGTTTATTTGAATGAAATGAATTTTTTTTTCAGCGAAGTAGCAATAATTCCTTATGTTGCCGCACATAAAAGGTTTTCGATTATTTTTAGAACAAAACCAAAATCATAAAAAAAATTTAAACATTCATAAAGAAAACTCCAAAAATAAAATTCGAAAAGCAAAGTATAAGCTACAGAAAAACTAAAACATCTAAAATTCTAAAAAATATTTTTCGCGAACTGTGTATAAAAATTAAAAAATAGAAGAATTCCAAAGTATTAACCAAAATTTAAATTTGTTTTACAACAAAATTTTAACACAAGAAAGTGCAAAAATGATATTTTATTTATATTTTTGCACTTTTTATATTGTGAAATATTATATTTTCTACAAAATAATTTTGCTCGCGAGGTTATTTAAAAAAAAACAGTTAAAAATAAAGGGATCTAAAGGAGGTAAATACAAACCTGATGGAATCCTGTTTGTCGGGGAAGTTTATATTGGGGGAAAGAGGGGAATGAGAGTCCTGATAGTGGGGGAAGAAGGTTGGATCGCACGCGTGTTCGCAAAACAGGGGATATAGTACAGACGACTGACGACGCTGAACGTCCCGACGCCACGTGTATTTTAAGTGTGAAAAATCATCAATTTTCTACAAGAATCTTCCAATTAATAAATCAGTAAGGTTAGTTTTAACAAATGCAAATTGAATCTTATTATTTGTAGAATTTTTTTCTTCCATTTCCGCCAAGAAACTACTCGAGTTTAATTCAATTATATTGTACATCTTCTTATAATATACATTGGGCTCACGCAATGTACAGTACAATAAAACAAGTTTCATTCTATTTTAATTGAACACTTCCGATTTGTTTATTATTTTACTGTTTTTTTCTTTCTTTATTTGTTTATTTTTTAATTAATTTTTTTAAATTCATTTACTTTTTAATTAATTAGATGGAAAATATTTTATAATTTTATTGAACAATTTTGCTGAAAATTTTGAATTGAAGACGATTGATTGTTTTTATTAATTGAGGAAATATTAAAAATGTTTGAATTCTTTTGTATTTTAAAAAAAATCTTGGTATTTAGTTTCATTAATATAAAAATAACTTAATTATAAAATACTTTATTTATGTAAATAAGAATAAATTTTTATTTAAAATTTTTAATAAAAAAATTGAAAAATAAAAAACAGTCAAAAAATAAAGAAATTGGAAGTAAAGATAGAATGAAAATAATTATTAAGATTAACGTTGAAGTAGTTTTGTCGAAAATGCATAGTTAATTCAAATGGAGCAAGAAAAACATAATTTACTAATTACATGTCATAATTTAAGTTTCAAGTTAACTGTTATTTAATTCTTAATATTCACAACCAAAATTGATAATGTTTTTCGAAAAGGAAACTTTTACGCATTAGTTTCAAGAAATATTTTTTTTTGAAGTTAAGTATAGAGGTCGGCGATCTTTTTCTTTTAACTAAAGTTATACGTTAAATGTGACTAATTGTTTCTTTCTCAACACTATACTTGCTATAGCCGAATTTCAAATGACAATCTATTCTTATAACTGTGACAACTCGGATCTTTATTTTCTCTTCTGGTAACTTATTTTGTTTTTCTTTCCCTTAGATTTTTTATTTATTACTATTATTATTATTGTGGCGGATGAGATGTTTTAACCGTTTATTTATTTAGGTATTTTTAGGGTTAAATATTGTTCGAAAGAATTTATGATTTTCTTTTCCTGAAATTTTCTATTTTATTTAACTAAACATTGGTTTTGCATATTTTTACCTTTGGGTTTTCATTATTATTATTATTATTATTATTATTATAATTATTATTATCATTATTATTATTGTAAATAATAGAATTATTTAAAATCATTCAAGAATATTTATTATTATTATGATTAATAAAATAACTAATTAAAATTAATAAATTATTATTATTATTATTATTATTATTATTATTATTATTATTATTATTATTATTGTAAATAATAGAATTATTTAAAATTATTCAAAAATAAAATTTATTATTATTATGAATAACAAAATAATTAATTACAATTAATAAATATTTAACATAAAATTAATATTTTATGCATTGTTTTTATTTTTACATAATTTTATGTTTAAATAATAGCAGAGTATTCTCAATTTCTACTTGACATTCTACAAAATTTCAACTGTCGTTGCTGTTATTTGTTCATTTCATTCTCCACCGCGTGGTTATTTTTATTTCATTCGTAAATATTTTTTGTCAGTTTAAAAAAGAGATAAGAGAAATATTTTAATGTTTAGACTAAGGTGACGTTATTTATGTCTCATGCCCTTCATACCACTTGAAAATTAGTTTTTAAGTGTTTAATTAATTTCTTCTATAGCAATAACGATTTTTTTACATTAAAAAACGATTCAAAAAATACATTTTCTTAATTTAGATATAGTCATTGAATGCTAAAGAGTATAAATAGTATATAATAATAATTGCAATAATAATAAAATTTTTAATTATCTTTTTTTATTTTTTAAAAATTTAAATTGAATTTAAATTAGTAAAAATGTTAACTCATTTGAATTAGTGACTGAATTTTTTCTAATTTTTTTTTACTAATTCAAAATTTTGAGAATAAATTTTATCAAAAGCAACAAAAATTATATACTCGAAGTGAATGTTTCATACGTAAATCTTACTTTTGAGTGAAATGAAAAAATGCTAATAATAAATAATAACAAAAATAAAAATACAAAGAAGAAAATTTGCTTTTGTAAAAAAGTGTGTCGAAAACGAAACTCAATATTAGTGATAAAAGTTGTTAAAAAAAGTCGAGAAGTGAATAATAAACTAATTCAAGAAAAGAGAAGATTAATAATAGCATCGTTATTTTTATCAGTTTTCTTTAATATCTTAATGAGGTTTTTATCTCTTTTTTATTTTTACTAATTAAAATACATTTTGTTGTCTTCAGTCACATGTTTTAAGTAGAAAGTTA